TTCAAACTAGGGCATTTTTGAGAGTTAAAAATGAGCTATTATTAATCATGTCGCATCAAGAGGTATAAATTGGGTTGACTTGAGCAAACAGGGACATATGGCTACCCTACATATAATCTTTGTATCCATCCAGTAGATGTACCATAATTTATTAGCAATGTCCTTATTGTTATGCATTAAAATGTAGCTTTTAAGTTAAACCAAAATCAAATGCTTCTTCAGAATTGGTGAAATTCAGCAAAAGGATCCCAAGCATTTAGATACTATCTTCATATGTTCTATCTGTACAAAGGTGTACAGATAATGTTTACCTACTTCATAAGGTTACTGTAAAGATGAAAATGAAATCATGTCTCTAAAAGCGTGAGACGTGATAGACTCTCCATGAATGTTGGTCCATGCTTTTCTTATTAAGTAGTTGTTGTTCTCAACTTTCTCATGGCAATTTTCACCAATGACTTAGTTAAGGCATTTAGACTATAGTATAAAATTCACATCTAAAACTAAAACTAAGATGATACTACTGAAATCTGTAACTTTTATACTCCAGGGTCTTCATGACTTACTATGTCATAGAAATCTTGAGTCAAAGAATATGAACAGAAAATCTTGGTGAAATTCTGAAGCAGGGAACTATAATAAACATGCACAGATTCCTGACCCACAGGAATTGAGATATGATAAATATGTATTGTTTGAGCCAATAAACTAATGATAATTTCTTACATGGCATTAGAAAACAAATCTGGTCTTGGGATTCTGCTGTAGTAAATTCCTAAAAAGGTGGAGTGGCTTAAGAACCACTTCGTGGTCAAGAAACTGAACAATGAAAAATAAAAGAAAAAGAAACAAAACAATGGTTGAAAGATATCCTAGAGAAAGCCTCACTTTCCTTGAATAGATTGAAAGTAGAACCCTAAACTTTAGGTAACCTGTTGGGAAGAATTCAAAGGAAAATGAAGAATGGGCTATTGGAAACTTCCCCAACCTGATAAAGGACATGAATGAAAAAACAAGTAATAATAACACATAATGGTGTAAGTCTGAATGCTTTCTCCCTAAGTTTGGAAACAAGGCAATATCTCTTTTAAATTATTTTATCCAACATTGTATAGGAAGTCAAATCCAGGGCAAAAAGGTGAGAAAAATAAATAAGTAAATACATAAATAGCACAGATATTGAAAATGATGGAAAAAAAACCCTGTCTACATTCAAAGGCAACATGACAGTCTACACAGGAAACCACCCCAAATCTACATAATATCTACTAGAATAAGTGAATTTAGTGAGGTTTCAGGATATAAGATCCATAAAGAAAAACTGATTATATTTATATATACTAACAATAAACAATTGAGTAATGGAACAATCCTTTGCAACTGCACAAACACCATGAAATACTGGGAGCTAGATGAATGAAACATATACAAGATTTGTATGTTGAAATCTACAAACCATTGATAAAAGAAAATTTAAAAGATCTAAGTAACTATAGATCTATAAAAATCTAAATAACTATTCTCAGGAATAGGAATATCCAATATATTTGATATGCTAGTTCTGTCCAAATGAATTTACTGAGTCAATGTAATCTCTATTAAAATTTCAGAAGGATTTTATATTTTTATGGACATTTGTAAGCTGATTATAAAATTTATAAGAACAAAAGGTATAGACAGCCCAAGTAATTTTGATAGAGAAGAACATAGTTAAAGGATTCACATCCCTTGATTGTATGAATTGCCATAAAGTTATAGTAACTAAAACAGTATGAAATTGATATAAGAACAGGCATATAGATTAATGTACAAAATATTGAATTCATAAATGGATCCGAACACATATGGTCTGTTGATTTACAAAAAATGGTACTCAGGTAATTTTATGGAGAAAGGATAATTTTTTCAGCAAATGATAATGGAACAATTGGATATCCATATGCAAACAATCAAACAAGTAAGCAAGCAAACAAACAAAAAAAACACAGAAATAGGACCTTCACACTTTGCACGTATGTAAAAATAAGCTTTAAATAAAGCATAGACCTAAGTGTAAAGCCTAAACTATAAAAGTTCTAGTGGAAAGCATAGAGAAAAATATTTATTACTATGATTTTGGCAAAGATCACTTATATAGGAAGAAGCATAAGACAATAAAAAATTTGTAAATGGTACTTCATCAAAATTAAAAACTTTTCTTTGAAAGTCACTATTTTAAAAATGAAAAGATAAGTCATACAATAGGAGCAATTATTTGCAAACAAAAGAGTTTTAGCAAGAATATATAAAGAATTCTTATAATTCAATAACAAAAGACAAGTCAATAAAAATAAACAAGAGATTTGAACTTTTACTGAAGAAGCAATTGTAAATAAATAAATGAAAACATGTTATTTGGATATTAAAAATATAAATTCAAACTACAGGAAAACACCATGATGAGACATCATATCTACTAGTCTGGGTAAAACAGAAAAAAAATTGATAGCGCCAAATTCTGATGAAGATGAGGAACAACAGAAATTCTAATAAACTGCCAATGAGAAAGATAATAGGATTGCTGTTTTGAAAAACAGTAGGAAAATTTCTTGTAAGATTAAACATATATGCACCATACTACCCAGTATACTAGTTTTAGGTTCTTAGGCATTTACTCAACAGAAGTGAAAATATATGCTTGCACAAAAAACCAATAGATAAATAAATTGCAGTATTTCTGTACAATGGAATACTACCTAGAAATAAAAGGGAATGTAAGACTGATTCTTGATCCAATGTAGATAAATTTCAAAGTCACTGTGTATGTAAGAAAAAGTCAGACACAAAAGCATGGTATCATTTATGAGTATAGAAATCTCTAACCATTGAGTATAGAAATCAGAGAAGTGGATGACTGAGTTAAAGGAACTTTTTAGGGAGATGAAAATAGTCTATGTATCTTATTATGGTGGTGGTGTACAACTATATACATTTGTTAAAATTCACTGAGCCATATACCTAGAAAGGTGAGTTTTACTGTATGTAAATGATACTTAGAAAAAAACTTTACAATAGTAAACTACTTAAATTGACTTTTGTATTGAGTAATTTTTTTATTAATTACTTAATGATTTCAGTGTTAGGCATTTTTTTGATGAAATAGGACATATTCATTAATCTTTTAAAAGGTGAAACATGGAAAGAATTCAGAGACCTAGCCAGTCAAACCAGTCTTTAAGTTTCTTAAAGATATAAATCATCATCTAATTTCCACTCCCAATGACCCAATCATGATTCCTAAATAAGATGAGCTATTAGAATTAAAGAACTAGAAGTTAAAACAATTCATCATCTGCCCTGAATTATCACTCAAGTCAAGGACTTGGTTGCAGTCTTGGTGTGAAAAGTTAGTAATGTTTATTCTTTGTTGAGAAAATTACATTCTGGTTTAAAAGTATTGGAAAACTGTTTTCATAGGTTTTTTTTTCCTTCCTTACTCCACTTTTAAGGTAGAAAAGTTGTTATCTTACAAACACATCTTACCTCTTGATGTTCCACACTTTCTACTAAAGGCCTTAAATTATTTCATAAACCATTCACTGTAAAGATCTCCATCTAAACTTCTGTCTCCTTCTTTTATATTCTGTTTCTAGTCTTATCTACAGCCTCTTTTCATGATCTATAGAGAAACCATCCTTGTTACTATCTCTTCTTAGCTGTATTGATGAAAAATCTCCCTTCAAACTCCCTTTGATAAACTTCCTTCGTCTTCTAAAAACCACTCCACTCATTAAATGACTTTCTAATGGGTTTCAGTTTTTCCTAGTATCCCCAACTTCATACAGACAGAAGACTCAGGGCTTTTTTTTTTTTTTTCTTCAAATTCTATTGTCAGTTTTCATATAATTAGAATCTTCAGTCTTATCAATCTTATCAGTCTTATCTCTAATCTATGCAGAGATTCCTTATCTGCATCCCATATCACTGATTCGTTTCACTCTCTCTCAAATATTGCTACTACTATCTTTCCAGGTTTTATGCCCACTTCCATTCTTAAGTGACCTTAACATTCAGATTCATGATTTATCCAATCCATTCACTGCACGGTTTCTTGATCTATTTGATTTCACAGTACACTGTATCCCTCAGACATAACCATAATTTGCCAACACTGACACACGCTGGGTCTCATCTTCCCATGGCATTTCTCTACTAACAGATCATAAGCCACAAATACCCAATTTCTTTTTTTTTAGATGATTTTTTCCTTAAATTTATTTATTTTGAAAGAGAGAGTGTGAGTGAGGAAGGGATGAGAGAGAGGTTGAGAGAAAGAGATTCCCAAGCAGGTTCCATGATGTCAGTACAGAGCCCAACATGGGGACTGATCCCATGAACCTGTCAGATCATGACCTGAGCTGAAATCAAGAGTCTGTTGCTTAACCGACTGAGCCATGCAGGCATCCCCACAAATACCCCATTTCTGATCATAGCATCTTTACCATCCAAGTCTTCCATTCTGCTATCCTCATAGAATTGTCTTTGTGCTCTACCTGGTACACAAATACTCCCCTTATCTGGTCATATTTATCATTTTCCAGCTGGAACTACATGATCAATTATTTTCATGCACCTATCAATTTATTAACCTCTTGCAGTCTCTTAAACTTTCATCACATCCTTGATGTTAATTTTCCACCATGATCGTAACTAATAACAGTTTTCTTAGTTTTCAATGCTCTTTCATGGAATGTTGCCTGAGAGGCACAGGAAAATGATGACATAGTCTGCTTCAAAGTAATGCCATCTTGTGCCAGTTAGGCCTTCATCATTATTCAGCAAAGTTTTTAATCTTCTTTTGTTAAACTATTCTGATTTCATTATCTGCCCCCATCATTGTGTTAAACTGAATGTTAAATGGATGATTTAAAGTTCACTTGTTATGTGAATTTCCTTTATCTGGGTACATTATTATCCAATGGAAACATAAATATAAATAAAATGTAATCATTCATACTCACTTAGAAATGGGATTGACACTGGCTTCAATAATTGTTAAACACTTACAGCATTTAATGTTTTCTGGAAATTCTTGTACACCTAAAATGTAAAAAAAAATAAGGATAAAAAAAGCACATGAAAAGATCCTGGCAAAAATTCTTCAAACTATGGTCTAATATTAAGAATAATTAATTAAAACTATGAATCAATACATAATATAGATATAGTACCAATACACCATTATGATAATCATCATATTGTGATATGTAAGTATAATAATGTAATAATATATTAGTATCACATAATATATGCATACATTTAAAAATAAAAATAAAATTTAAATATTAAATAATATTTTATCACAGTAATAGTTAGACATTGGTTATAAAATTGAAGACAACTGTATATTTGGGATATGAGATTTTTGCTTTTTACTAATTTAAAGCAATAAAAATAACTAGGTAGATCATTAAGTGCTAGGTAGATCATAAGTAGCACTAGATCATTAAATGCTACTACCTCAGTAAGGGGGTAATAAGCAGATAAAAAAGAGATTATAAGCAGATATAAAGAAAACAGAAGATAAAATCTTTGTTTCTTTTATAAGATGGGAGGATTGAACTTACACATGTGAAAGATACATAAGCATATATCACAGAACAATTGATATTCCCAAACTAATGTGGGTCTCTAACAAATTTTATGCAATTCTTCCTTGTTGGCTGCACAGAGTGTAGTTCTATATCTGCCTGAAAGGGTCAAGAGGTGAGCAGTTCTTCACCGGATCCTCTATCAAGTCTCAGGCAGCCAGCGAGGCTCATCACCCTATCACCCTTAAGGAACTGCTCATCTGCTGTCAAAGTTGCGCCGCAGGCAACGTAACAGAAAAATAGGTCTTTCTACGAAACTGAAACTCAGTAAGCCACAAACCTAATCCATAAATGTGAGGGTCAAAGAAATAAAAGATGTGGAAGGTATGTCAATTAACACAAATGAATCAAATATAGTAGGTCATGGGAAAGTTAGAAGAGAAGGCAGCAATATGAAGCTATTCCTATATGCCTAAAGTACTACCTGCTCTAAATGTTTGAAATTACTAAGGGGGTAATATTTCTATAAAGTACTAGACTCGCTCAGCATTTCATATCTGACAAAAGGATAAGGAACATTTTGTGGCAGGATTTTGTTGAACTTTTTAATGATGGACACTCAAGAAAGAAAACCCTCCACCTTCCAAGATTCTATTGTCCTAGATCACCATGTCCACAGAACCTTGAAGCCCAGTGAAGCAGCAGGAGGGCAGTCAAACCAAGACAGGCCACTTATGCACTGCAAAATAAGGGTCAAAAGAGGATATAGAGACATTTCTCATGCATTTTCTCCCTATGTGAAATTTCATCAGAAACTATGCTGTCCTAAAGTTATTGCTGAAGTATTGCTGTTTATTAATAAGAACCTAAGGAAGTATAGGAGCTCCATTATATATAAATTGAATGAGAAAATTCACTTCTCTTTTTTGGAAAGGCCATAACATCTAGAGCCATCCTCATTAACTAGACCTTAATAAAATGGCAAAGAAGTCAACAAATCAATCCTTGAGATGCCCCAATATTTTCTCCCTTAGTATTTATATTTACTTTGGATATCTGCAAACAACAGATAGTTAAGCCTTCTTTTTATCCCTTTAGCTTTTTGTTCTGTATCAATCTGGGCTGACTGCATACTGGTATACTGGATGCCTTATCACTACATATGTTTGCCTTCTTAATTATGTGTACACCAGATAGAAGCAGAAGCAAATTTAAAAAATGATTTTAAGAAAAAGACTATCTCTGTATCTTTTACTGAAAATGTAATTCTCTGTTGTGGTGAAAATATTACTAAATTATTTGTTTAAAAACATATTATGGGGGCTCCTGGGTGACTCAGTCGGTTAAGCGTCTGACTTTGGCTCAGGTCATGATCTCACGGTTCATGGGTTCGAGCCCCATGTTGGGCTCTCTGCTGACAGCTAGCTCAGAGCCTGGAGCCTGTTTCTGATTCTGTGTCTCCCTGTCTCTCTGACCCTCCACTGCTCATGCTCTCTCTCTCCCTCTCTCTCTCTCTCTCAGAAATAAATAAAACATTAAAAAAATAAAGAAAAAAATGTATTATGTTGTTTGTAGTTCAAACTTAAAGTTATTCATGGCTGAGTCTATTAGATCAAGATGGAATCCCAACTTCACCACTTACTGGTTGGGTAACCCTATGGAGATTATTTAAATGTTTCAACATCTACTTTGAAAAATGCTGATTGAAGATGGCGAAGAAGTAAGGAGTTCCATACTTCCCACCTGCATCTCTCAAACAAAGAAGAGCTGAAACCAAAGGACGCTGAACTGCAAGAGTCTGGGGGAAAAAGAGACAGAGTCCACTAAGAAGACAGCCTCATAGGTGCATGATTGTGAACTGGGGAAGATGAAAATGGGATGGGACATGGAGGCATGGAGGGGAGAGAGCCCCCTCTGCAGAGAGACAAAGGAAAAAGAGTGGCTGAAACTGCTCATAGAACTGTCCCTGGAGAAGAGAAAAATGCTGATTATATAAATGGTTACAAAAAGAGTTGTAGTGAGGATAGAGAGATAAACCAATAAAGCAATTGGCACAAGGCGAAGCATAAATGTTATCTATAATGATTGGAAATACAGAGGCGGGGCCAAGATGGCTGAACAACATGGAAGTTTTGTTTTGCATCTCTTATCCCTGAAATATAGCCGAAACAACACTAAGTCATCCTGCACACCTAGAAAACTGATTTGAGGATCAACACAACAATCTGCACAAACTGCAACACAGCACACAGCAGGTACATGACATAGAGAGGTGAACTGGGGGAGAGAGAAGCTGCAGAATACAGGGAACTGTTTTTGCTTGCAGAGAGAGGACAGAGATGAAGGGGGAGTACAGGAAAGCATCTCTTCCACCCAAAAGCATCTGGAGAGAAAAGAAAGAGTATACAAGGGACTGAACAAAAAAGGGAGAAAGAAGAAAAGAGAGGGTTTAATTTCCATCAAGACTCTATAAACAGGGGAAGCTCAGAGTCTGAAACTCCACAGTTCTATACCTGGCAGAGCTCTGGTGGGAAGGACAAATCCCCAGGAGCAAAAGCAAGGTCAGAGGGGTCCATGGGCCACATGGAGTGAGGTGGTTCCTCTGCTGGGAGCACACTTGGTAGAGGCTGTATAGCCACCCCACAGGCAAAAGTCCCAGTGGACCCTGGAGAACAAGCACATTTTCTGGTGCTGGGACAAGGACGTTAAGTGGGAAGCCTGGCACCAGATGTGTGTTATGATTTACCATAATCCCTGAAAGGCTGCTGCTATACAATAGCGTGAACTTTTTCCAGGGGGGATTGGTATTCAGCCACAGTCCCTGGGCATTGGCAAAGCATGGTTTCACAAACATTCCTGGGGGCAAGAGGCACCTGGACATTGCTCGGTGAGAACCTCCCCCAGAGGGTCAGAATGGGTCAAAGCTGCAGTCACTTAGAAGTGAGGCATTGGGAAACACAGCCACATTTGAGATAAAACTCAGGAGTGAGGTACCTCCTGGCAATGTGACGGCTTGGTCATGGAAAGTGTAAAAGTGGAGAGTGGATGGAAGCCAGAGACAAAGGAGGGGTGCACAACTGTTGATCAGAGAAAGCAGAGTTCTGATACTAGAGACTGGGTAGCTGGGTAATCCATTTTCACCCCTCCTTCACATGTGCATATACCCTACATGCACCACAACAATCCACCCCAATAAGCTAAGCAGCACCATCTAGTGAAGAACTAAGGCATTAAACTAAGCCCTGCCAAATTGGGCCAACCTAGCTCTTCAGGAACACCCCAAGTTTCTCCGTCTGCTTATTTTACAGACTATAAAGTACTTTATAGTTTGACGTTTAGGGGAAACTGATGTAATTTCAATCGTATTTCAGTCTGCTGCTCCATATATTCAATTTTCTTCCATATTCTTTTCTTATCGTTGAACACAGAAAAAGAAAAAATATTTTTATTTTCCATTTTTATTAAAAATATATTTCTTCATTTTTTTCTACTATATTTTTTACTTTTTCATAAAATTTTCAAATTCTATTTTACTTCCATCATTTCATTTTATTCTATTTCATTGTATCCATTTTTTTTCAAACTTTCAAACTTTTTCCTTTATTTTCTTCTTTTTTTCTTATTTATCCCTTTTTTCTCTAATCCATTAAGCTCCTTTCAACAACCAGATCAAAACACACCTAAGATATAGCATCATTTATTTTATTTTTGTGTGTTGATTTTAATTTTTTAATTTGATTTTTCACCTTATTAATTCCTTTTCTTCCTTCAAAATGATGAAACAAAAAAAAATTCAGCTGAAAAGAAAGAACAGGAATAAATGATAGACAGGAATTCAACTAGCAAGACGTCTGAACCAGAATTTAGAATCACAATAATAAGAATACTAGCTGGGGTTGAAAATAGATTAGAATCCCTTTCTATGGAGATAGAAGAAGTAAAACCTAGTCAGAATGACATAAAAATGCTATAACTGAGCTGCAATATCAGATGGAGGCCAAGGCAGCTAGGACAGATGAGGCAGAGCAGAGCATCAGGGATATAGAAGACAAACTTATGTAGAACAATAAAGCAGAAAAAAATAGGGGGAGACTAAGGCAATAGAGTATGATTTAAAAGTTAGAGAAATCAGGGACTCATCAAAAAGGAATAACAGCAGAATCATAGGGGTCCCAGAAGATTAAGAGAGAAAAAGGAGTAGAAGGGTTATGTGAGCAAATCATAGCAGAAAATTTTCCTAACCTGGGGAAAGGCAAAGACATCAAAATCCAGGAAGCACATAGGACTCCCATTAGATTCAACAAAAATCAACCATTAACAAGGCATATTTACAAAACAAGTCAAATTTATTTATTTTTTTAAATTTTTTTTTTAATTTTTTTAATGTTTTATTTATTTCTAGGAGAGAGAGAGAGAGACAGCGTGAGCAGGGGAGGGTCAGAGAGAGAGGGAGTCACAGACTGAAACAGGCTCCAGGCTCTGAGCTGGCCGTCAGCACAGAGCCCGACG